CGCAGACCGACCGGAACATTCCAAGCCGGCCCGTTGAGAATGGTCATCAGGCTACGGGTAGTTTTGCACGGGGGAGTTGACTCAACTCCCGCCGTGCAAAACTCTTCCCGGAGAGCCTTATACGTTCAGGCGGGCAGTGAAGTACTGCAGGCCCGAAGAGAGTCCACCCAAATCGCGGTACTGGACAACGGGCTATAATACTTAATAGACCTGTTTCAACTTCTGAAGTATGCCAAGATCACACCGAAAAGACATAAGTTGATTATTCGCATCCTTGTTTGCGATTGACAGTTTTCATAGTTCATGCACGAGAAATGGCGTGAAATAATATGGCTTTGTCTATAACTAGACCAAGGATATCTCTATATAATGAATGTCCTTGACTAGATTGTCTAGTTACTTTGGACCAAAAACTTCCGTTGACAAACATTGAGGGCTGTTACAGCAACATATGATACAACATATGATCTATGTCTAAATGACTTTAATTCGAACACGTATTTTGTTGACTATCCTTGAACAAAAATGTCCTGACCTGAAACTTATTTTTTCAAGCTTTCTGGCAGTGATACACATGTATTTCTTTGTCCATGTTTGTCCCAGTATATAGATAATAAAAAGACATAAGAATAAGTCATTATACAAATAAAGGGAAATGATTTTTTTTATTTTTGTTTTCAGGCTCCAAACGTTTCATTTCTCCTGTGGTTATCTGAGACACCCCACACATCGAAGCAATCATGGTAAATTTTCTGCACTTATTATCTCAACTTTTGTTTACTCACTTGCAACAGTGATAATGTTATCTAATGAAAGTTGGAGGTTGCTTTTGCCTCACATTTGCATTGTGGAGAGAAAAAAACAGGTAGACAATTTACTAGAATTTTCCTATCTATTTTTTGGTGACACCTCAGGGCCTAGCCTAACTCAGTAACTGTGTATATTATACGTTTGCCCCCCCCCCGGAAATTCCGGAATTCTACACGAATTTCTGTGATGTGTCCGAACATTTCTGTGGACACCATCACTCAAGGCTACCTTGGGCCGGAATAAGGTTTTTGTTGACGGGTTTTTGTTGTATAGAATGTCCCCAAGTACCTTAAAAGTTTATTAATATTCAACATTTTGATTGCAGCCTCTCCCAGCTACCCACGAGATTCACATTTATGGCTCCTTCAATGGTGTTGAGTTTGACATGGTGGGCCGTGGCACCGGCAACCCAAAAGATGTAAGTATGTCATGTTTATTCGATTTTTCTGGCTTACATCATGTCAAACACTTAGTTCTGTTCTCTGTACACTGTTAGTTTGCAAGGATAAAGTGTCGAGGACGGACACACAGTCGAGTTTTAAAAATCCTACAGACACTAGATGTTGATAATGATAATCTATCAACGTGAGTTTGCAGTCAATATCGGCTGCCCTCGTCCTTTAGCAGCCCTTTCAGTGGGGCTAGCCTGTGTATATCAAAATAAACACCCACCGCTATGTTTGGCATAGTCATACATTTGCCGTATCAGCTAACTAAATGCCTAGAAGTGGTCATTTGACTTTGCATTGTTCAACGCCATGAAAAACACTGGATTCCACCATCTGCAGGGTTCTGAGGAGCTACACATGAAGTCCACCAAGGGTCCCCTTCCGTTCTCTGCCCAAATCCTCATCCCTCACGTCGGGTACGGTTACCACCAGTACCTGCCTTATCCTGACGGGATGTCGCCTTTCCAGGCCGCCATGCAGGACGGTTCGGGGTAAGAGTTAGAGCCATTTTTAAAAACTCCTCTTTAACATAACATAATGTATGATTTAAAAGCACAGAAAACACACAACGTCGTAAGAAAAAAACTTTGTATCTAAGAAAATTGTTGAGATTTGTTGCCCTAGTGAAAAGGTAATATTATCAACATTTCTCTCATGTGTTTGTTTGTTTGTTTTAGGTACCAAGTCACCCGCATAATGCAGTTTGAAGACGGTGCCAATGTAACTGGCCACTACCGCTACACCTACGAGGGAAGCCATATCAAAGGAGATATGCAGGTAAAGTCCAAGCAACAAACACCGTTCGAAGAAAACAACAAAATTGTTCAGGGCACTTCAGGCCTATGATTGCAATGAGCCTGTACTAGAAGGTCCCACGGTCCCCAACCCTCAATATAAGAAATGGACAAGGTGAAGTGAATGATTGCAATTGCGAAGTATAGTTCCTCTGATGAACTCACTAATGCATTAAGATAATTAGGTATTAATTGTGTTGACAATATTTTTCCTCAGGTGATCGGGACTGGATTCCCTGCTGATGGCCCAGTGATGACCAAGTCGCTCACGGCTGTGGACTGGTGCGTGGCCAAGAATGTGCACCCTGACAACAAGACCATCAAGGCCACCTTTGACTGGACACTCACGTACGTATACTTTTTGTACAATGTATTTGTTGATGTAATCAATGTTTAAACTTGTATCTGAGGAAGTTTCTCTTGCTAAAAATGGTCCACTAACATGTTCTGTCCCCCGACCCCCACCATACAGCACTACCAGTGGGAAACGCTACCAGGCCTCGGCGAGGACCAACTACACCTTCGCCAAGCCGATGGCCGCCAATTTCCTGCAGCAGGAGCCGATGTTCGTGTTTCGTAAGACGGCGATCCAGGGTAATGCAGATGACACCGAATTCGCCTTCAAGGAGGAACAGAAGGCCTTCGCCGATTTGATGTAATTGTAATTTGTAAGTGTCCAGTGTGTAACATTTGCTTGACAGCACCCCCAAACATCAGACAAGACATTTTGGTAACTCTCAGGTAGAAGAAGAAACATTGTCATGGCAGAACTTTCAATATCGACCACTTACATTTTCCATTCGGCTACAGATATTTCATTTCTAACAAAGTTTTTTCTCACACTTTCTTCGCTAATAACACCTCATTTGAGAGTGAAGATCCTGATATTGCTTTTCATAAATAGATACTGTTTTTCATAGGCATTATTTGTACTTCAAAGGGGTGTTTTTGACAGACAAATGTCTCACTGGATACTTCGCATCATTTTTATTACGTTGTTGGTTTTAGTACTACGGTGAGGGCTGTACAACACAGCCTGGTTCAGCAAAATTCTATCAGTAGTTCTCTTTTAGGACCCAAATGGCAGGTTACTTTAGTGATCATGTAGGTTAAGTACTAGTATATCGTGAACCAACATAGATAGCTTAATCTTTTTTAATCCAAATACGGGTACCATTTGGAAATTTGTATGTTCTTTCGAGAAGTCTGGACCGACAACTCTAGTCAACAACAATAAGACAATAACAAGGAACACAATGTGTGTAATTAAGTCACAGAGAATCCTGAGCTCCAATTGAACTGATTGTCATAGTGCTAAAGTATTCTAAGATCCTATCTGATTGTCACATTGATATGGAACCCTGAGCACTGTCGCTACATCTTGGAATGGTTCTTGTGAGTTAGTCTACTTTCGCTCCTAACACTTGTCACGTTATAGTAAAAGGAGAATAAATACCCACTGTGCACAAAATGTAATTAACACATGTATTGAGAACCGTGAAATGGTAAAAATAACACTACATTTACACAAGACAAGAAGCTTTTCATTTATCATTAAAAAATGGGCCTTTTTTGGCATTCTTGGGATTATGTTACTTCTTTTGTATTTTGAATAAAGGTTTTGGGTACCATAACTCATGTTGTTTTTTATTTCATTTTGTACAATCGATAATAGCGTACACATACAGTAACTGTTTTCAATCATAAATAAAAAGGAAAAACAATACACGGAGAAAATTAAACCGTCCATGTCCATAAATAAAGGTACGAGTTAATTAGAAATAGTGAGAAAATTTAAAAAAAAGTTGAATATCATAATTTTTTCTACATATAGTCGATTGATCTACACAGACCATTGACCTGATTTAGCTAATGATATAGAATTAGCCAGTGATAAGATATCCATCTTCTGTGCACCCTAAGGTCATACGTATCTTTCATTCCGTGATTTATAGGGTACAGTTGTCTGTACCATTGCTACTCACAAAGACTAAATGTTTCTGGTCAGATCACAAATAGGTCCTTGACCCGAATAACCGATTATATATATAATTGGCTCTTGATGAAATCCATCTTCGGTGAGCCGTAAGGTTAGACATTTCTGTCATTCCGTGATATATCACTGTTTGAAATGCCCAGGGGAGCTACAGTTGGTCTCTACCACCGCCACTCGCAGGGGTGTACCTATGATTCTGATTCTTATATGCATGTATCAAAGTCCTAATATGTACAACAATAGAATATGTTAATTTCCTCATGAATTGTGCAAGTTAAGTCGCACTCACATAATCTACATATGATTGCGTACATCTTTGTCAAAGCTACCTACATGATGAAAATCGTGAAAATTCGATGTTCCTTTCTTGATTTATCCGCTTTGGACGATTTCATCGAAAAAAACTGAAGTTTCACAACAACCCGCTATGGAGACAAACCCACACCACTTGTTCCTGACATAAAAAGCTATCAGCCTCAAAAAAAAACAAAGACCATAGCATGTCCAGGACAAAAGATACAAATCCGGATGTTCTGCAGCAGTACCAAGGTCAGCCTCCAAGAGGCCCAAATTTGACCTTGACCTCTGCCTTCCTAAGACTAACCTACATACTAAATATCATCACATTCCATTAAGGTTTTTTTAAGTTACGTTGACCAAACGTAAGCTAAAGCACACGATGTTTTGTCCCGTTTAAGTGACTTATAAGTGCTACACTTTCCTCCTTCGAATGGTTCTATTCTATTTTTCATCCACTATTGAGGACTTAGTTAACCTTTGATCGTAATGTGTTAGCATCCCTGTCAGGTAGTGTCCGACAAGCAACTTCGGTTTCACAGATTTCAACCACTGTTTCAATTTTTGTGTGTTTTTCTTTGTTGACCTCTGTCCTGTCCTATTAATTTTGAATTTACCCTATCGTTTTGTAAATTCCATATAACGTTACCATTTGTCCAAGTTTTTGTTATTTATATTTCATTTGGTTATGTTGGGTAGTGTCAAAACACTACACAACATAATCCCCGGGAAGAATACTGCCAAAACAGTATGGGGATCCGAATAAAAAACCAAACAAACAAACAAGCAGACAAACAAACCAGTATGTCAGGTTCCGAGGTCGCGTAGTTTAAACCCTTGGCAAAAAATGCGTTCCGGATCCCCAAGATAAGAATTCTGTCCGAACAATTCTTTACCTATTTGCGTATATGCAATCCGTAGCTCATAAAGTGTTATTCTTTGTCGTTTTGATTTTGTAGAGTCAGCAACAAACTTGTTTTGTTGACGTCCTAGTAATAAGATGTTCCCGTAAGGTTGACCTTTCAACTCTCACGTCCGCGGAAATTTACACCGGATCCGGAAGTTTGTCGGCTACAGTGGATTCCAAACGTTCCTTCTGATTGTTTTGTTTAGGGAATAAAGTTTTTGAACTGTTTGTCCAAGCCTAATGTTCAAAAGTTGTCCTTCAGTACGTCGAAGGATAATCCTTCACGCAACTAGACAATCGGAGACTGACAGGCGTGATGTTATGATGCTTATAGTGCAGATTGAACTACAGGTGGTTGCGAAACATACAGTGTGTGTGGGGGGGGGGGCGCTGGAATACAGACGAAAAATGTCCAAACTATGCATGATGTACAAAATAACTAACAAACTGGTGGACGTACCCACCAATAAGTATCTGATACCAGCTCAGAAAAGAACAAGAAACAGTAATGCCTTCAAATATCAGAGTTATCAACTAAGAATTGAGTTGTTCAAAAACTCCTATTTCCCAAGAACTATGATCGTAGAGTGGAACTCGTTGCCACCAAGCACAGTTGGGGCATCATCACTAGAAAGCTTAAACATCTTCTGCAATTAAATGCACAAAGATTGAGTGGAACATGCCGGTTTGTTACGCCGAATGGTGGTTATACCGGCTATACCGATACAGATACAAATACCTCGCGATCGTATGGCTTGTCTTCTCAAAATTCCTTACTGTGTCTAAGGAATCCTGTCCACAATATCGTCTAATGTTCGAATTAATGCTCATTTGTATTGGTAGAATCCATAGCTGAGAGTTTAAGCTTAGGAGTCCAATATAAGAAAAGAAACTCACCATGAATTTTCACTCGATCTCGTCGTGCTTTATCAGATGTATGATCCACTGCGCTGACTTTCCGGAAATGACGTCACGAGTAAAAGAAAAAATGTAGACGTAAAGACTTGGTGCAAATTTCCCGCCAAAACAGACGCAAACATCACACTAAGGCCTAGAATAATCAATATTGTGTTTCCGGTTGCTATCCTGAAAAAAAACTAGGGGTCGGTAGGTATGGATTTTCTTTTAGTTTTTTTTATAGATTTTGGCCAAAATGATCCAACAAAACAATGCATCAGAACTATTTGTTTGTAGAAAAATATTTCACCCGATTTACTGTAGAAAAACCTGTTTCTGAAAATGCGTTAAATGATGTTTCAGGCCTAGAGGGTTTGAAATTCAGATGCCAGATTGAAAATTATTTAGCCTTACCAGCAGTCGATCAAAAAAGAGCTGGTCGGGAATACGAAAACACAACATTTTCCTTAGGCCTCAAGAGAAGGTAGCTTTATCAACAAAGACTAAAATCTCGAGTAGTACAAATTTCCCGCCGAAACCTGACGCAATTTATCGTCCAAACCTACAGCACACAGGTGATTGACAAACAGAACATGGACCTTTGGTCCGTACAGGGCCCTCACAGCCAGCCACAGTGCAAACTGTCCTGTTTCAACAAAACTATCCATGTTGAGACACGTGAGTGGTGATTGCTTGCTACTCCTGCCTCGTCACAGGCCACACTTCTTTGGTCACGCGCTGGTCACAACTCAACTCGACCGGTGACTCTCTCACCTTTCTTCCTCCTCGTAACTTTCTTTCTACATCTTTATCTCCCTCCTAAAGTCTCCTAACACCCTCTGGATAACCCAAGCGAAGGTAACAAGCACGAATGATGGCGAATTCCAGAGGACTTATGGCGTTGTTTTTGCCGATGTTGTTTCTGTACTTTGTACTTGGGACGGGTAGAGCAGGTGTGATGCCCAGGTCTTCAGAACGCGCAGACGCAACTACGATACCCCCACCACCCCTACCACCTCCTGCTATCGGTAAGACACCTAGATGGCACATACTTTTGTACGTAAATAGCCACTTCGTTATGTACAGATAACAAAGTATATATAGTTTACAGATACATGACATCATGGACATCATGTATGCATCGCCAAGTTAGCAGGAGTACTATAGTCTAGTAAGTGATCATGAATTCGGCTTCTATCTTGTCACTTTTTTAGGTGGAATCATCTAAGACCATGATCAAAGGTTTGACTAAATGCATTAGAAATATGAAAGTGTCTGTATTACTTATTTGCTTGAAGTAGGGAATATAGACGTGTTAATATGATATGATATAATAATGATAATTAATATAATATAATTTCAGCTCTCTATAATATTATAACTACGATGCAATAAGAAAACTCGTAAATTCGTCTACAAATATCTCAAAAAGAGATAAGAAGAGATACGAAGCATGTAAATCATAAGTATAGCATCGTTTCCCTATTACTTATTTGTAGCTACATTGCTGCATTAAGCCCCAATGGGGTATGAATATGCCATTGTCATTGTCATCAACATGACACCCCCCTCCCACCCCTATAAATGTATATAAAATGACGTATCAACATACCGCTGGGTTATTGACCCAATATCACGAGACTGGTCAAAGTACAAACCGTATCAGCTACCCCTACAGGTGTACGTGTTTATGTACGCTACTATAGTTACCTCCTGTTACGGAGGTATTGTTTTGGATGGGTTAGTCTGTGTGTATGATTGTCCAGTAAAGACAGATGCAGGGTGGGTTTGTGTATATTTGGTTAGTTGATTGACAGGGAAGTTAAGCCTAAAGGTGACCCAGCACGCGCTGGGGGGGGGGGGGGGCTAAGTGGGCGGTACATGGGAGAATTCAGAAAGTGATAAACTAATAGTTCTAGCTAATGATGAAATTTTATGCAATGAGACTAATATTGTAAAACTCATAAAAACCTGAAAATCATATTTTAACATACAGTGTAAATGTGCGCTCAAAGTAAACAATGGCATATGCCGTCTAAAACATTTATATAAGTGCATGTGTACATTTGAAATTCAGTCAATGTTTTGCTTTATATAAATTCTTTTATTTTTATCTTTTTATTTTTGGATTCCAACATCTAATCACAAGACGTGGTGACAGCACACTCATGTTTTTTCAACTCATATTAATGCCGCCACCAACACAGGGGACAATGCAATACTCATTTTCACCTGAGCGAAGTGAGGAAAGTCGTGTAAAGTGCTTTTCCCAATGGCACAAGATCGGCGGCATGTCAGGACTCGAACCCGGGACCTCTTGATTCTGAGTCGAGCACTCTGCCGCTACGCCACACGACCCCACTTATCTGAATTCAATGGATACATCCACCAATCAATGCATTCTTTCATTAATCAAATTTCTGTAGGACGTTTCAACGTTAGCGACTCCTCTACCGGCGTCAGATGTATCCTGGTACACATGGGCGTGCAGTTCAAGATCCAGTACACCTCTAAAGATGGCGACGATCTCATGGCCGACTTCCAACTCTCCCCGTACGCAGACGACAGTGGCTCCTGTATGGACGGTCAGGGACTGGCAAACATTCTGTAAGTTGTCCTCACTTCCGGGACGGAAGTATTGTTTTGGGTGGCACTAATTCAAGCTAGGTTTTTATGTTTGTGTTCCGAAGTGAGTGTGTGGAGATTGGGTTAGACAGGCTTTGACCTTGCTGTAGTATATCCTAGCCATGTAAATTCCACAAACATCATACACTTTATGTATTCTCACCTTTTTTTTAAATCTCGAAAGTAGTAATAAAAATACTATTAAATGTGTCATTTTTTTAAATCAAGGACGTTATTTAACAGATATTTTACGTTATTTAACGTCTTTATTTAATTTTATTCCCTATCTAATTCATTCTTCTCTCTTTGTGTGGGCGACTAGTAAGTTAGTGCCCCCCAAAGAAGATGTACAAATTTTTAAGTGTTTGTACCATGATTTATGTTCTTATGTTTTTATTTCCACACGCCGTCCACGTTTGACTTTATACTGAGTCTCATACTCAGTTGAATTACTCTCTTTCACAGTCTCCAGTGGCCACTGAGCGACGAAGGGCCCAACTACCAGTTCACCCTGTCATTCAAGAAAGACACCGTCGCCCAGGAATTCCATCTGAACGACATAGTCCTCAACTACAACCTCACAGAAGGCGACTTCCCCAACGCGAACGAGACCAACATGATCAAGACTATCGAGGAGCACGGCATCCAGGACACGTTCAGCGCGCCGCTCGGCAAGTCTTACAAGTGCCGCACTGAGCAGACCATACAGATCGGAAACGTCGCGACCATCAACTTTGTGGGAGTTCAGCTCCAGCCTTTCGAAGTGCAGGGAGATGAGTTCGCTGAGCCTAACGTCTGCGCGGAGGACGGGGTCACAACGCCGGCCCCCACCACCAAGCCTCCACCGCCGCTTCCACCACCCCAAGTCGGTAAGATAGTTACGTACCATTGAAAGGGTGGACTTGATATGCAGTTACCCAAAAGCTTTTACAATCATTGAGTCCGATTTTCGTCATTGCGGAAGGGGTTTGACTTATGTATGAAGCATAATATTGATACATACAGCAGGATTCCCTTTTTCGGTCCTCCCTTCCTTCGTTTCCTCATTCTTTTGTTCGTTCCTCCCTTCCTTCCTTCCTTCTACCCTTCCTGTCAGCCATCGTTCCTTTCTGCATTTTGACGCCCTCTTTCTTCCTTCCTTCCTTCCATCCATCCATCCATCCATCCATCCATCCATCCATCCATCCATCCATCCATCCATCCATCCATCATTTATTCATCCATTCTACCTTCTTTCCTTCCTTCCTAACTCACATCATTCGTTCGTTCGCTACTTCCTTCCTTCATTCTTTTACTCATGTGTATCTATGCACGTTGACAGGCCACTTCAACGTGACGGACCCTAACACAGGGGACATGTGTATCCTGGCATCGCTCGGCCTGCAGTTCAAGATCCAGTACGACTCCAGAGACGGAGACGAGGACATGGCGGACTTCCAGCTGTCTCCGCGGGCAGAAGTGGGCGGCGAGTGTGACAACGGGCAGGGGGAGGCTTCTATTCTGTGAGTAAAACATAAACACCCTGTTACACTAAACCCCTTTTCAGGAGTTACGGGATCGGACATTTGGGGGGGGTGTGTGCTTATTTTCTGATCAAACGTAGATAGCACGCAGTAGAAGCTCCGGCCGCCAACCCTAGTATGTTCTATAGTCTGCCAGGGATGGCATACTAGGGTTGGCGGCTGGAGCTTCTATGCGTGCGATCTACGTTTGATCAGAAAATAAGCACCTCCCTAAAATGACCGATCCCGGAACGCCTGAAAAGCAGTCTACTGTTACACATTCAGAAGCTTCCCCCGACCAACAACCAACCAACCAAGGTTGGCGGTAGGTTGGGAGCTGTCTGACTAAATTTAGTGTATCCTTCGATACGAATTTGAATTAGATTTGAGTCAAAATTGACTGCCAACCACGCCCCGATCACTGCACCAACGAAACAATCACCAACCATGACCCAACGTCCCGGCTCTGGAATGTTATAAACAGCAAAAGGAAAGCCGACAAACGTTTATGAAAGGTCCAAACACAGGCCTAACCTCTGATTGGAGAGTACAAACATACCGGCAACAGGCGGAGACGTTTGCAGAAAGAGTAGGTGGATATTTGCTTAACGCGCCGGGTGGTAGTAAGTGGTCGGGACGTGGAGGAATTCAGGAAGGCTTGACTTGACGTCATACAAACCCCAACACTTTCCGGAAGTCTAAAAAAAATCTCCGATTTCTTGTTTTTTATACTTTTATAATAGCTGCAAAAAGGCACGGTTTGTTTGTGTGCTCGAGATTAAAAATAAAAATGAATTCCTATTTTACATTATATTTGTGTTCTCCAGTATGCGGTGGCCTGTAGGCGCCGATGGCAATGCTCCCTACACGCTCGCTCTGGTCTTCACCAAGGCCAGAAACATATTCAGTCTCAACGGCCTCGTCTTTAACTACAACCTGACTCAAGACGACTTCCCAGACGCCAACGAGACAGACTCCCAGAAGACGATCACGATGAACGATCTTAAAGACCAGTTCAGCGCCCCGGTAGGACAGTCTTACAAGTGTCAGGCCGAACAGACCCTACAAGACGGCACGGTCGCAACCTTCAACTTCGTCGGGGTTCAGCTGCAGCCGTTCGAGGTGAAGGGTAACACGTTCGGGTCGCCCCGAGTCTGCGCCGAGGATTTCACCACCACTCCCCGGCCTCCTGGCCCCTCCACTACCGCCTACGAGCCCTTACCTATCCCCGGCGACTGGAAGGTCACAAACAGCAGCGGCAAGGTGAGTTAGGCAGATAAAAGACAGAGAACAGTCGTGCCGGTAGTGTTACAGAGGTAGCCTGGGTGGCATACTCCGTAGTTACTACCGGCTCCCTACTGTCACTGGCTATCAAGAGGCGACTGTGGATGTAGTATAGGCGGCATAAGTCTTTACGCCAAGGGTGGATGTTTATGATTTTTGGTAGGCAGCTTTCTGTTGACAAGACGAAGGTCAAGTTCGAAAATGGGCCTTATGGATCTGGAGGGGGGGGTCCTACGCTACTGTAGTAGATCTTTTTGGCTTGTCAACAGGATCAATAGGATAAATCTTAAAGCCATGGATGGATGTTTACTTATACAGCACTGTCTGTTTTCTCCAGGTGTGTATGAGAGTGAAGGCTAGTATCCAGTTCAAAGTGAAGTACTACAAGACAGACAACACGATGGAGCAGACAGATCTGACTGTCCCTCCACACATCAACGCTACCGGGACCTGCGCAGGCGTCACAGGAAACAGCGCCAGTCTCGTGCTCTCATGGGACAACTTGTGAGTTAATACATCAATAAACTATTAATCATTAACTCAATAACTCAATCTACAGATTCATGTCCTTATGTCGCTTTCGTAAGATTACAGATTTATGTTTGTATCATACCATTATGCAATAGCCCACACAACTCTCCACAACTAGTTTGATAGTGAGGTGATCTGTATGGGTGATACTTTATATCCCACATGGAGTATGCGCGCTACCTAGCGAAAGTTATAAGAAGTGAAGCTGGTAGTTGGAAGAATCATTCTCGGATGATATTGCAGCGTTGATATTGAATTCGAAGTTGAATTCTGACACGAAGTCCCAAACCGTTACCTCCTATAACTAATTCTTTATCTTGCTATTTTGTCAAATTGTGCATGTTTTAACTTGTTTGTACGCTTTTCCTTTAGGTACACGGTAACTATCAAATTCTCCAAAAACATCGGCACGGACAGTACAAGCTTCAAACTGAACAACATCCAGGTGGAGTACACGGTGAACGAGGACGGTTTTCCGGAGTGCAGGTACTGTGGCACGGCGGGTCGGGCCTCCAACCTCACCGTGGACGCCTACCACGGGAAGGTCGGCAGGGCTCTGACCTGCACAACTCCGGTCGTCATTCCTGTCGACACCAACGTAACGTGAGTTGAGATGCGCTTCTTAGATCTTTCTCTAAACCTTTCAAATCCCCAAGCCACTCCCAAAGCACATGCAGCCCCTCCCATGTTGGCAAAAGTGCTAGCTTATTTTGTGGTAAGTTGGTAACTACTGAGCTAAAAAAAATACTATGAATATAACATATGTATAGTTTTGAGTGACTGAGCCCAGATATTGTGTATCTGTTTGTTCAAACAGTGTTGGTTGAAAGCACGTGAGTCGGGAAAGATTGACAGGCAGAATGACAAGTCAAAAGGTCAGACATTGGAAATGGGGTCCCAGAATCTGGCGGGGAGCTAGCGGGAGCTTAAGGTCGACATGGGCCGAGGATTACATACTTATCGCAAGTCTGAAATCTCCAATTATGTTTACCTTCGCAGAAGAAGGAAAACATATTGTTTTTGCTGTTTCTTCTTCCGTTCCAAACACAGAATGTCAATGACCTGGGCCAGACGGCTGTCACCATGGTAACCGGTGCTGTAACAGACACCATCATGTTGTGTTGTGTTGTGTTGCGTTGGGTTACATTATGTAGCAAGAGTTGTTGGTTACCATATTACATAAATGTGACTGGGTTCGAATAATTTGAGCAGTAGTTTGTTAGGCTAGACTATGAGAAGATAAAAACATTGCAAATGTTAGTTACCTTTCTAATTTCTTCTTGTTTTGTGTTAAAGGATGAAGATCGCAGAGCTCGAGGCGCAGCCGTTCGGTATCGGTCAGGGCGGACAGTTCGGCGAGACGGACCAGTGTCCCCAGGACGGCACGCCGGGCGGGGGAGGAGGAAACGGCGGTACTGTGGCGCTGGCTGTCTGCCTCACACTCTTCTGCGTCATAGCCCTCGGGGTCACCTGTTACTTCTACCGGAAAAAGAGGTCCGAGTACCAGAAATTTTAAATCAAATTCCAAAATGCATGGCGGTAATATGTACATTCCAAACTGTCAGAAATGTACAGAATTAAGACTTGATTATTCATCCCATGTTAGTCCAGAAAAAAAGTCGTTAAACGTGTTAATCGGATGTATTTGGATTATTGTATGAAAACTCTAAAATGTACACAATTAAAGAAAAATAGGGCATCTATGGATAATCATGTGCGTATACGTGTTATTACATTCATAAAGTCTCGAAAAAAACGGGGCAATAATATACGGTCTTTAACAACATTTCTATTGTAAACTTGGCATAACTCTGCCCAACCATATCTAAACAAAGTCAAAGCAACAAGCGAAAATTGTATGAACAAACGGAATTTGTTGTGTTTTTCAGCATAAAAAAAGCTATACAATAGAAACCCGTATAGTCGATAATCTGTAATTTAGTGATTTGGCTCGTTGCTTACAATTCGCTACCGTGATATCCAGAAAGACTTCATTTGGCAAACAACAGCATCATTCGGATTACAACACATGTTATTACAATGGGTGTCAGTAGCCCTTCATCTTTGGTATTGATGTGTAATCTCGTCGTACATTGTTTTAATGTACACAAAACCATGTAAAATTTAGATTTATATGCGTTATAATATAAAAAGAAACATCAATAGGGTCAAAAGGAAATATAGTTTTGTTTTTAGCATGTTGCGAACTGAACGCAAATATTGAAGAAGTGTCTAGCTTTAAGTTAATTCCACTACTGTGTAGTACTGATATAAATGACGCTTTGCTAATAAAAAAAATTATACGGTATTTCAAATACTAGTGTCTTGTTTGTAGATATGCTTAACCTGTCATTGCATACCATTTTATTGTCTACACAGACAAAACATCGAACAGCAATATGTTCCATGACATTTTGTCAGTAGCAAGCATTTTTTTCAACAAATAAATAAAACTAGAAAGGCCGACATTTGCTTGGGAGCAAATACAGCATATTTCAGTCCATCTCCCTCCCACGCAAAAGTGGACTATTCCAAACTTACCCCAGTGCAAAACTGGCAAAGGTTCTCAAATAAATGAATTAAATAGTAGCTATATGAGAACAAAGATGCAACGACAAGTACTTTGAATCTCAAAAGCTTTACTAATCTTATTACAGGTATGCAAAAACTAACAATGATGAGATTTGATACATTTTGAAGGTCTTAGGCACATAAAATTGAATTTGTGGGTCATTACGCACCACTTAGGTGCAATGTGACCTCAGGTAACCCGCAATGGAACACGTGTTCCATGGATGGAACCGCCATTCTTTAGATAGAACATGGAACGGGTACAGCACTTTTGGCCCTTTTTTTGCTGAAAATTGCCATTTAAGTCCCCCAAATGAGTCATTTGGAAGTGGTGTATGCCAAATATGTGACTGCTATTCTGTAGACACATGTTCAAGGTACCCTTATACCGAATTTCAGATCATTTGGTTGTAAAACCAGGGCTCAGGATCCAAAAATCCATTTTTTGGCGAAAAATGCCCCAAAAAACCATCATAAAAATTTTTCAAAGGCATGTTTCAAAAAAATGAAAAAAACGCCTGGGGGTATTGGCCCACTCTACCTCCATGCCAAATTTTGGGTCATTTGGCTGAATGATGGCGGAGTTGAATCCCTCAGAGCGAGTGGCAGGAGAAGAAGAAGAAGAAGAAGGAGAAACACGAGGGAACACAATATATTTCATTCATACCTTGCGGTATGGACTGAAATATAAAAAAACAACATCCCAGCTGAAAAATGCTAACATTCATCAAAGATGTGACTCCTATTCTTCATTCATCAAAGGTACCAAGAATAAGACTTTTTATAGTTTGCTTTGATGGATGCAATTATCAATGGTTACTCAATGGCACGAATTCCTGACCCTTGCCCTATACTGGCAGCCCTGGGGAGGGGGGCAGGAAATGCCTTCACCAATATTTACAAAAACAGGCATATTCAAGGCTTCAAAATACACTTACCGTGTATTTCAATCTCCAAAAGCTCTTCTCCGCTGGATAGCTAAATATGTCTACTTGCCGTTTGTGGAAAAACCCAGGCTTCGACTCCGGCGTTTTGAAGATATACAGCCGATCAGAGGTAAACAAACACTGACCTTTGAACCCCCAGCTTGGAATCGCCCGGCAGAGGGGTGTGACATGGCCCCAAATAATGTAATATAGCACTACTCATACAACACTGAGGTCACAAGTTATGTCTAGAATTGAAAAACTAAACACACCTCTTGTCTACCCGGCAGAAAACTGGTATAATCTGACCAGAATTGGCCCCAGGAAAAATTCTATAAAATGATAAAAAAAAAAAAATCGGTGTACAAACTAGCCTCACTGCCCCCCCTCCCCCCATGGAGCATGTTTTGCGTAGATTAAGGGGTGGATAGTGGTGGCCTGGTTGGGTTGTCATTGATTAAGCCACCCCTGCAAGATGTCCAACGAACAAAGAATAATTGTGTTGTCCCGGCTAATATCTTTGCCATCGATAAAACACATGACAGAACTGCAAGCAAAGGTAATGGAAAATACTTATGATATATCACTATGCTGATTGTAGTTACATATAGAGATAATAGGTGCTATTTTTTCAGCAAGGAGCACAAAATGACTTCCACTCACTTTTTAAAAAGTATGAATTTATTGTATTGCAACAAAATTAGTCATGTTTTCTATAATGAAGTGTACGCTATACACAAAACTGATTCAAACGACACTGTTTCATTAAATTTCACTAAAGGCACACACAGTTGAATGTTCTAAGGCCTAGGAAAAAATGTTGTTTCCGGTTACCCGACCAAAACCAACCATAATGGTTTTTTGATCGACCGATCGCGATGGCATGGCCATGGAATTTTCAATTTGAAATCTTAATTTCAAACCCTCTTAAATTTTTTTCACAAGCAAATTTATATCATATTTTAGTGAATATTTATCCCTACCCCACAAGCAAACGGATGGATGGGTTCAGGCGACAACCCTGGTTCCGATGTATTTCATTTTTACGTTGTTAACCGAAAACACACACTTTTCAAGGTGATGTTGCATGACCAGAATATTCAAGAAGACTAGACTGAAAAAAAACTATTGCCTCGGATTTTGCACATTATTACCGAGTGCGATTAGTTTACTCGTACCGTGACGAAGTCAAGGTCAAACATAACAGTAGTTATAGCACCTCACTCAGTGACATTGGCACGACATATACAACATCTCAACTTCATCATCTCAACAATACTAACAAACACACACTTATCTAGTAAGTGGAACTTTAAAAAAACAAGAATCGTGTATTTTTTTTGTCACAGTACTGTCACCAAGATATCACCAACACTAGACTCAATCGTTTTCGAGGGTAAATGAATGATGCCATATGTTTATAGATTTTCATTCGTACACAGAACAACGTTAATAAGATATTTCAAAGGAACTGTCTATGCCCTTATTATATTTCAGTCCATACCATGGTATGGATGAAATATATTGTGTTCTCTGGTGTTTCTTCTTCTCCTTCTCCTCCTTCTCCTCCTTCTCCTCCTGCCAAACAGTCAAAGGGATTCAACTCCGCCATCATTCGGCCAAATGACTTGAAATTTGGCATGGAGGTAGAGTGGGCCAATACCCCCAGGCGTTTTTTCATTTTTTTGATACATGCCTTTGAAAAATTTTTATGAAGTTTTTTTGGGCATTTTTCGCCAAAAAATGGATTTTTGGATCCTGAGCCCTGGTTTTACAACCAAATGATCTGAAATTCGGTATAAGGGTACCTTGAACATGTGTCTACAGAACAGCAGTCACATATTTGGCATACACCACTTTCAAATGACTCATTTGGGGGACTTTAATGGCTATTTTCAGCAAAAAAAGGGCCAAAAGTGCTATACCCGTTCCATGTTCTATCTAAAGAATGGCACGTTCTATCTGCCGTTGGCCATGGAACACGCGTTCCATTGCGGGTTACCTGAGGTCACATTGCACGTAAGTCATGCGGAATGACCCACACATTCAATTTTATGTGCCTAAGACCTTCAAAATGTATCAAATCTCATCATTGTTAGTATTTGCATACCTGTAATAAGACTAGTAAAGCTTTCGAGATTCAATGTGCTTGATCTTGCATCTTTGTTCTCAATTACATACCTACTACTACTACTGTATATAATTCATTTATTTGAGAATCTTTGCCAGTTTTACACTGGGGTAATTTGGAATAGTCCACTTTTGCGTGGGAGGAGATGGACTGAAATATGCTGTATTTGCTCCCAAGCAAATGTCGGCC